TATTTGCCCAGGCTGGCCTTGAATCATGATACTCCTGATCTCAGCCTCCCAGGCGTTACAGGCGTGAGCCACCTGCACCTGGCAGGAACCAAGTTTTTTAATGTGACCTCTAGCTGGAACACCTCCCAGCCAGTCCAACACATGTAAGGAGGAAGAAACCCAAGTGGCTGGGCGAAGTGCTCCCTGGGGACTCAGGACATGCTCCAAGATGGAGGCTCAACCAGGGGCAGCTCTGGAACCCAGAAGGGCCGGACACCAGCGCCCTGTACACCTGCCCCAAAGCACACTCCTGAGACCCCTGCCCCACAAGCTCGGGCCTCACCCTGCCGACCTGTCCAGCTGTGACTCCTGCCCTCGTCCTCCTGGGTGTCTGTTGTGGGCTGGCTGTCCTGGCCTTCCAGGATTTTCCAACTTCAAATCCTCAACTCCAGCTGTCAGGTGCCTCAATCACAGGTCCTGGGGTCAGGGCCTGATGTCCCCCCATGCTCCACAATTGACTCTTCCTGGGCCCACCCACTACCACCACGCGTCAGCACGCATGGTCCCTGCTGTCCCCCCACACCTGTGCCTGCGTGTCTTGGTCTGGGTCTCCTGAAGACCCCAAGCAAGGAGTCCAGCGACAATGACATAACTAGGCATGCTGCCTGAGAACCTAGCCCAGCATAGATGGGAAAGGGTGATGGGGAAGGTGGAGGCTGCGGGGGTGTCAGCGCTGCCCAAGGACAGGAGGACCTGTGGCACCTCCCATCAGTATGAGCTCAGGGCTGCCAGGCATGGAGTGTCCCAGGCACTGGGCTTCCCAGAGTCCTGAGCTAAGTAAGACAGAGAGCAGCAGGTGCAGGTGGACAGGGCACCTGGGAGCCAGGTACCACGCGGGGTCAGATGGGGTCAGCCCAGACAGTGAAGGCTCAGGGTTCTGCCCAGCTCTAATCAGGGCTTCTCTTCACCTCCTGCCTGAGGCATCACCTAGCACATCCAGAAGCTCTCTGCCCTTGCACACAGGTGAGCACACGCTCCCCGGGTGGTCCCAGAAAACCTACAGCCAGGGGTGTCCTTCCAGCTTAGCAAGCCCCTACATGCATCACACACACAGACACACACACCCCTCCAGCCAAAGGTCCACGGCTGTCTCTGATTGGATGATGAGGGTCACATGTCCACCCTATGCAAGGGGGGGCAGTGCTGGCGCAAAGAAGTGGAGTCAGTTTCACTAAACCCTGGACTGCAGGGACAGAGAGGGGCCTTCGTTAAGGAAATGGAAGGTGCTATAGTCAGAGTGAGGAGAGTGGACAACAGGCAGGGCTGAACCCGAGCTCAAAGGCTATGTACAATACCGATGTGTACCAGGCGCTGGCAGCTCACGCCTGTAATCCCAGCTACTCAGGTGCAGAGATCAGGAGGATCGCAGTTCCAAGCCAGACCAGGTGAATCATTTGTGAGACCCTATCTCAAAAACACCCAACGCAGAAAAGGGCTGGTGGAGTGGCTCAAGGTGAAGGCCCTGAGTTCAAACCCCAGTACTGCAAAAAAAAGAAAAAAAAGATAGATGAGTGTGTATACGTGGCAAATATAAATACAGGGTTTTGCTTGGGGGAGGGGTCCTACTTTCCGCTTTTCTTCTCATGATTTGGTTTTTGCTCAGCAGTCTGACTGTGTTCCGGGGTCTAATACATTCTTCCTAGAGTCAGTGTGGGACTGGAGGAGTGGCTCCACGGTAAGGCGCCTGCTTAGCAAGCGTGAGGCCGGCAATTCGAACCCCAGTTCCACCGAAAAAAAGAAGAGCATCTGATCACATACAGAGTGTGTCCCGGATCTTTTCTCCAGTCCTCCTGATCTCGCCTCCTGAGTAGCTAGGATTACAAGCAGCAGTCACCTGCACCCGGACGCATCTTGGATTTTAGTGGCCTTCCAGGGGCAACAGGAGCACAGACAGCACTGTATGTCCTTGGCACACAATGACACACGATTTGGGTGAAGTGCTGTCTTGGTGCTTGGACTCTGCCCACGTTCAAGGCCCAACATGTGGTAGCAGCTTGAAGGGACCCCTGGAGCCTCGATGTCACCCACACCCCACCATGGAGTGACACATCCTCCCCAACTTCCAGCTAAGCACCCTGGGCACACCAGCCACACGTGGACCTTCATAGGAGGACCAGGCCTGCCCAAGGCCCGTCCCTAGGTTTGCTCAGCCACTGTCACCGGGGTGTCACTCTGACTACTGGTTAGCTCTCACTGAAACCTCTTTCCGGCACCACACACACCGCCAACCAGTGTTCCCTCTTCAAATCTCAAAAGCAGTAAGAACTGGTCAGGCAGTGAGTGGGGCTGGCCGGTACATTATATCCTTGCATCCTCTTGATCCAGCCTTACCTGCATCCACTCTCCCACACTGACCTCAGCACCTCCACCTTCCTCAGGAAGTCCCTCTCAGACAGGCTGATCAGTTTGTTCCCATCCCCCTGATCCCAGGACTGGTTCAGAGATGGACACATGGCTCACATCACCTGGGGAGAGGCAGCCTCCAAAGACTGGCCATAGAAAGACTGGCAGTCTAGACTGGACAGCCAAGCCGGGTGGATTTGGCTGTCATTGTGCCAAATCCACACCAGAAGATCTGGTCGTGTGTGACCTGGTCCAGACTCGCCTGATGTCAGCCTGCTCTGGACGTTCAGAAGAGCCACTGATTTCCTCTCCTTCACTGAGGTGGTTCTGCATTGGCACCGAGCAGTCCTTGTGCACTTGACCAAAAGTCAGGATGTGCCTGTGAAAGGCTCCTGGGCACCTGCAGTCTCCATCCTTCTTCACCACAAAGGTCTGAAGCAGGGCCACAGCAGCTCTGAGAACAACAGGGACAGGAGGGGCCACAGCTGGGTCAGGAGAGGGGAAGGCAGCACGACCACTCGATCCTCATCTGGCTAGGGCAGGGGCGCTGCTCCCTCAGCCCAGGTGTGCCCAGTGGAAGCCGCAGAGCAGCCCTGACAGCAGCAGTGTGATGGAGGGGAGCTCAGTGCACCCCAGCAGGTGGAAAAGCTATGAAGGGGAATGGATCTGCCTTCAAACTGACCCCTGTCGTCCTCCAAGATCTGGGCACAGCCTGACCCAGGCAGCTTCGAGTCACTTCCCCCACAGTGTCACCTGCTAAGGGTCTGATTCTGACCCTGCCACCTTCCAAAAGTTACTTAATTCCCCCTCTGGGCCTCAGTTTCTTTTGTGCAAACTGGAAGGAAAGCTTGTGCGCAGCAAGGAAAATTTATTTCCATGCCCAGCTCCCGTAATTGTGAGCTATTCATCTTCTCCCTTCCCAGGCCGCCAGCGAGGCCCAGGGCTCCAACCGCAGCACCAAAACACAGACCTGTGCCACCCAAGACCGTCCGCATCAGGTGCTTCCAGGAGGTACCAGAAACTGCCACGCTCTCAACCGTACATGGAGCCCCGCACCCTCTGTCACCACCACCTCCCTCTCGCCCCTCCCACACTCACCCCTTTTCACATTCAACCCTCCCACGCTCACCCCTTCTCAGGCTGACCCCTCCCGCACTGACCCCCCCATGCTTGCCCCTCCCACGCTCACCCCTTCTCACTCTCCCCCCTCCCACGCTCACCCCCCCCGTACTTACCCCTCCCACGCTCACCCCTTCTCAGGCTGACCCCTCCCGCACTGACCCCTCCATACTCGCCCCTCCCACGCTCACCCCCCCCGTACTTACCCCTCCCACTCACCCCTTCTCACTTTCACCCCTTCTCACTCTCCCCCCTCCCACGCTCACCCCCACCACGCTCACCCCTCCCATGCTCACCCCTTCCACGCTCACCCCTTCTCAGGCTGACCCCTCCCACTTACCCCTTCTCACTCTCCCCCTCCTACGCTCACCCCCCCATACTCCCCCTCCCACGTTCACCCCTTCCATACCCCTTCCGCACTACCCCCCAGGCTGCCCCTCCCACTCACCCCTTCTCCCTCTCCCCCCTCCCACGCTCACCCCTCCCGTACTTACCCCCGGCATTTACCCCTTCTCAGGCTGACCCCTCCCACTCACCCCTTCTCACTCTCCCCCTCCCACGCTCACACCCTCCCGTCACTTACCCCCGGCATTTGACCCCTTCTCAGGCTTGCCCCTCCCACTCACCCCTTCTCACTCTCCCCCCTCCCACGCTCACCCCCCCCATACTCACACCCTCCCACGTTCACCCCTTCCACGCTCACCCCTTCTCAGGTTGACCCCTTCCGCACTGACCCCCCCCATGCTTGCCCCTCCCACACTCACCCCTTCTCACTCTCCCCCCTCCCACGCTCACCCCCCATACTCACACCCTCCCACGTTCACCCCTTCCACGCTCACCCCTTCTCAGGTTGACCCCTTCCGCACTGACCCCCCCATGCTTGCCCCTCCCACACTCACCCCTTCTCACTCTCGCCCCCTCCCATGCTCACCCCCCCATGCTCACCCCCTCCCACGTTCTCAACTCCGCACAGCCCCCGCTCACCCGTCCCACATTCACCCCTTCTCACCCCCTCCCACTCTTACCCCCCTTCCACCCTCTCCACCCCACGCTCTCGCCCTCAGGCTCCGCGGCCCACGGGCTCCACCATGCGCCCATCGTGCGCGCTGCGGCGGCCTCTAGGTCCCGAGTGACCGAGAACCCGGCCTCAGGCTCCGGGGCGCGGGTGGGGGACTGCGGTCGGCTCCGCGAGGGTGGTCAGGACCTCTGCACCCCCGCCGGCTCGCTCCGCTCCGCTCCTCGAGGCTGTCCGGAGAACCTCCCGAGCGCCTTACGGCGCGGACCTGCCGTCCGGGTGCGGGCCCTTTAAGGTGGTGGGCGGGGCAAGGACTCATTAGCATTCATTAGCATGGCCCCGCCCCGGAGGCGGGCGGGCGCGCGACTCAGTCCGGCGGAGCGGAGCGCGGAGCTCGGAGCGGGCGCGGAGCCGAGTGGGGCCCGGAGCTGGCGGGCGGGCGCGGGGACCCTCGCCACCCCGCCGACGCGGCCCGGACAGCGACATGGGGTGCCGCGCCGCCCGGGGACCCGGCCCGCCATCCCCGCCGCGCCCCGCGCTCCGGCTGCTGCTGCTGCTCGCGCTGGCGGCCCGCGGGGGCTGCGCCGCGCCCGCGCCCGCGCCCCGCGCCGAGGACCTCAGCCTGGGGGTGGTGAGTGCGCGGTGGAGGGCGGGACGCTGCGTGGTGCCGGGGGAGACGAGAGAAGCCCACCTGTGCACCTCGGCGTGGTGCGGGAACCCGGGGCGCCCTGGACCCATTTCCTAGGCAGGGAAACTGAGCCTGAGGGCGCAGGCTGACGCTTGCAGGTCTGGAGGGCACCGGGTCCCTTCCCCGCCCCGCGCGTCCGAGGGCGCCGTAGCCGCAGGCGCCCTGGACGTGGTCGCCCATCCGGAGTCCGGGTGCCCGGCTTGGAGCATCCCACAGGGGGCTCCTGGCGGATGGGGACCGCGTCACAGCCACCGGGAGCCGCGCGCCGCGTGTGCTTCCCGACCGGAGTCGCGGAGGGCAGGGGCGCGCGCCCCGAGCCGGGGAAGCGCCGGGGCCGCGCATGTAAGGCGCCCGGAAAACCTGTGCTCCCCGAGTTTGTGAGTGTTGGGGAGCCGCCCCCAGCCCCCCACTGGGCGTGGATCTTGGCTCTGTTCCCCTGCGCTTCCTCCGCGAGGGCGGCCCGCCTTGTCCCACCTCGGCTGGTTGGGGGGACCCGCGGGCATCCCAAGGCCTCCGGTCCCCCCAAGCCCGGCTATCCCAAGCTGAGCTGGGGAGCCCTGCTAACCGCCGCACCGGCCTCGTCCCACACCTCTGCTGTCTGCCCGCCGGGCTGATGTCTCCTGGAGCCCGGAAGGTTTGGGTCAGACTGTGGTTCAGGCCACCGCAAGGCCCGCGAAGCCCGGCGAAGGCGCAGGCAGTGGGTTGAGCCCGCTCATGATGAGGGCCCTGCATGGGTCGCCGTTGTCCACGGAGATCCAGGGACCCGGGCCAGGGGCGGTCTCCTGCCCAGCACAAGTGCCGGCCCACGCAGGCAATCTCCTAATGGGGTCCTGGCCAGGGTCCCTTTCCACGGGCCATTGACATTCGGAGCTCCCAAACCTTCCAGCCCAGGCAGGTCGCCCTGATGGATTTCAGAGACTTGGACGGCACCTGCAGCCGCTTGTTTGGTAGGACTTGTCCCAGGGTCGGGTGAGAAGAGGGCAGTGATACCATCCCTCCTATCACTTCAGGTACCTAGGGAACCCCAGGAGCTACTTTCTGCCTTCCAAGCAGCGTCTAAAATAGGGGTGTCCCACACTCCTGCTCTGGGTGCCTTCATAGCTGGGGTTTCCTGGCACCCCGCCGCGGTGCGCACTTTGGGGCGTCCTGTTCCAGGGTCCTCTTCCAGTTCCCAAGGCGCTGGAAAAGGTGGTAGTTTTGAGGGCTCACGGAGATGGGATCAGTGCCTGCTGGGCAGTGGAGCCCCTGGTCCAGCCAAGTTGCTTGATCACACCCGGGGCAGTCGGGAAGTTTTGCACAGCCCCGGGCCGACAGGTTGGCCCGTGCGCTGGTACCTGTGTGCCTTGCCCCGCCCCCCGGCTTCTGGGTTCCTAAGCACCTGCAGGCCCCACATAGCAAGGGACGCGGCCCCAGCCTGGCCAGAAGTAGCAGAACCCTGGTATCCACTCTGTGGGTAAAAAGGATGCCAAACTCAGAACCCTGTCCAGGACCCTCCACCCAAGACAGGCGGGACCCTCCCTGGTGTGGGAACCGTGTCTGGCCTGCTGCTTCTGTCTTGGTGGGGGCCGCCCTCTGGTGGCCCTCTTGGAGATGACACCTGAGAACAAGGGGCCCCGGGGCTGGAGGCCGTGAGAGGTGGGCGGGACCAGGGGGTGGGGGCTCCTTGACGCCCCTCCTGACCGCCCTCTAGGGGCAGCAGAGCCAGTATTTGGGTCTGGGCATCAGCTAAAAGGGCCCCTTTGTGTGTGCCACCAGGCTGTGCCAGACAGCGCTGCGCCAGAGGCCGGGAGGGGCCTCCCAGCCCGGCCCCAGCATGGCCTGTGCATAAAGCCTGGACCGAGGCCTGAGGCCAGCGGGTACAGACAAGGATGGCGCGCAGGCCGTGCTGGAGAGAGGGCAACAGGGGGTGCTGTAACCTCCCAGAATTGCTGCGCACAGCTAAGTAGGCCTGGGTTGCTCATTCAGTTTCCTGAGTCAGTAATGCCCACAGCAAAGGGTGCCGGCCCCAGGAAGGTGCTGCGGGGGAGGGGGTGAAGGGAGTCACATCCTGAGGATCCTTCTAGAAGCCAGCTGGGCACACCCAAGCCGTGGGTGTGTGGCTGGAGTTTTCATATGTTGGCATGCAGCAACCATCTCTGTGCCCTGCCTGGGAGAATGTTCTGCAGACTGCCTGAGTCTGCTGCTTCTCTCCGTCACCGGCTCTTACTTCACTGCACAAATGTCACATCCCATAGCCAGGCATGGCACAGACATGCGGGCTGTTTCTAGTACAGTGCCAGGATCCCGTATGCTGCCGTTTTCAGTGTCTGAGGGATCCTGCTGGAGAGCTGCTGCTGGGGGCAGACTCCAGAGTCAGCTCATGGTGGCAGAGTTTGGCAGTCAGCCCTCCAAAGCCTCTACTCCGAGTTCTACTCACACCAGCGAGGTCCACATGCAAGAGCAGAGTCTGGCTTTCTTCACTCAGGTGCACACCACCGCTAGGCTGCTGCTAAGACTCGGGGTGGCCCAGGCTGATGGTGGTGACGGGAGCTGGGGTGTGGAGCCTGAATGAGCTGGGTATCAGCTACTCTCCTGTCTTGGCCACAGCCAGTGGCTTCTGGGTCCCTTTGCTCTCAACTTCACGCACACAACCTGTGGCCCCAGGACCTGCATCCTTGCCCGACTTTCCCAGGGATGTCCCTTTGCACCCAAACCAAGGCAGCCAGGATGGTTAAACAGTTCCCCGAGAAGGAGAGCGTCTTTATGTCCCCTCAGCCCGTGACCTCATAGTCATCAGGACATGTTTTCCTGACGTAGCCCATTAACACAGACAGGTTCTGGATCCCCCGGCTGCTGCTCACCTGCTCTGTGACCTGGTTAATTACCAGCTTCTGTCTCCTTGTTTGCACTCTCCCAGCTCTCAGGCAAAGGGTGGGGAGGCTGGCACGAGTTTGGGACCTTGGTGGGCCTTTCTTGGGAATTCCCAGGGGGTACTTTGAGCACCTCTGGGTCTTGCCTCTGTTGACAGTGAATCTGAGCTCCCCCAGTGACACCTAAGTCCTTGTTCTGGGTACAGGTCAGTGCCCAGCACATGAAGGGGACACTTCTGTCACGTGCTGGCTGTGAGCTGCTGGGGCCCGGGCACAGTGTGGCTCCCTGCAAAGATGGGAAAGGGTGATGTGGCAGCTGCAGACATTGTGTCCTCTCACACTTGAAGTCCCACTCCATTCCTGGCTGCCAGGCCCTGCACTGCCTGCTCTCCATCCCCCTCCAGCCTACCAGCCCCTTCCTGGGCCTGGGCCTGCTTTGAAACCTTTGCAGTTGCTGTTTCTACTGCCATGGATATCCAGGTATCAGGTCACCCCAGGACCTGAGCAACCAGGTCACAGCCCCTCCTTCAGGTCCTCTCCTCCCTCATAGCTCAGTGCCTGCCTACAGGATGGCCTCTGAAGGCAGACCACCAGGTTTCCAACCCCAGCTCTGTACTTACTGACTGCATGACGGGGTCAGTGCCTGGGCATTCTGCCTCAGTTTCCTTGTCTGTAAACTGGAGATAGCAGTAGTGCCCACTTGCGGAGGCTAGTTCACAGCTGTGGACAAGGGCATTAGCAAGTAGAACAGCTCTGTCCTCCTGTTGACCCTCAGGGGTGTGGGGAACATTGGCTAGTTCATGGCTCAGTGGCCCTTAGTTGTCAGGATCTCTTAAAGTGACTGTGTGTTCACTGTGTGCTCAGTCTTTGTCCTTCGTCCTCCCCTCCATACCATCTACTACTGGACAGGTCTGCCCTGGTCTCCCCAGCGCCCCACACACTGAGTGTTTGGGACAGGCACACAGGTGGGCAGAGGGAGATCTGGGGAGACACTGGGTGTCGGGTCACCCTAACCGCCATGCAGAGGAAGCTAAGGCCTGGCCAGTGCCTTTTTATTTTTTTAAAGGGGCCACATAGCCAAGTGGGTCAGACACAAGGCCGGAGCCATCACTGTGCACTGTGTGTGACCCTGGACCCCCCCCCCCGGATGTGGAGGTTCTGGTGACACTGCCTTCCCAGGGGCCTGAGGGCTGTGATGGAGGTAGGGTGGAGAGAGCGAGGAACAGTTAGCCTGTGGTCACTCTGACCTCTGCAGCTATACTTATCCAGATTCTTGGCAGGTGTGATGCCCGCCAACAACCTCACACCTGATGTCCAGTGGGGGGGAGGGGAGGAAAGAGTGTGAACTCAGCCACTGCCCTGCCACGTCTTATGCACCTGTTTCCGCCCCTGTGAGATGGAGCTGAATCTCCCCAGGCTGGTGGCTCAAGTCAGAGAGGAGTGAGGAATGAGCTATGGCCGGTGGTGGCCCGGCAGCTGGCAGGTGGCCCAAGCACCAGGGCAGCCCCTGGAGGCTCCTGGGGCCATGGACATTGTCCACCCTACCAGGGCTGCAGGCCGAGCTACAAGGGCACCAAGAGACAGTTAAGAAATCATGCAGCAGCCCCGGGGTGGTGTCTGTATCTATAAATTTGCTAAAATCATCGGAGGGGATTTTATGCTGTGTACATTATGCCTCGTTAGAGCTGTAAAATGATATACATTGTGTCAAATGGTGATAAATGTTACAGTGAGACAGGAATCAGCCCAACGTGAAACTACAAAACTGGAGGGGCTGGTGGCACAGAGCAGGGTGTAGATGGCATCTGCGGGCAGTCGCCTGCTTTCCCGTGTCCCTGGCCTCAGCGCCTCATCTGCAGTAATGGCCCAGCTTGCAGGGGGACGGTGCAACATACCAGACACAGGATGGACCCCCTGCTCACCCCTCCTCCTGGCATCACCCCCTCCCCAGTGGCCTTCTGGAAGGTTCACCCTGTCATTGCTCAGCCTGCCTGCTGCAGCCTCTGTTGCCCTGGAGACAGCGGTCTGTCTCCGTGGTGACAGAGGAGGGAGGATGCAGGAAGCAGGCAGTCCAGGACCTCCGAGTGCAGCACCAGCTCTGAAGGTACTGGGGGGCAGGGGCTGGGGTGGGGTCACCAGGAGATGTGGGAGGTCTGCACCCCCAGGGGACAGAGCGGAGAGGGGCATGGCGGGGAAGGGTTGCTTGTTATGAGGTGTTGGCTAAGCCCAGCCCGTTCACAGGCTCCCAGCCTCTGGGTAGCTTTCCTCAGCCTGGCAGCCCAAGGCCCCTCGGCCTACTGCCACCCCACCAGCCTGTTAGCCTCGTTTGACATTTCAAATGTGTTAATCACCAGGCCAAAGTAACAGTATTACCGCGGGCGCTTGAGGGCCCCTGAAGTGGGAGGACAGGGCATGGGGCTGGGCTGCAGGGACTTCTGTCTGCATGTCCATCTGAGGCCTGCAGCTGTTGGTACCCTGAACCCCAGATCAGCTTCTCCCAGGATGCTGGGCCCTGACCTGTAAGGCCTCAGGCTTTGTGGTGCCGGTGACATGGGACAGGACCCTGGGATTGCCAGTGCAGCCCCCAGCTCAACCTGCCTGTGTTGAATCCCATTCTATGCAGCCATAAACTGCTGTCCTAGCTGACAGGTGGGGAAGGCCCAGGAGGGGCAATGGTCTTCCCAAGGACCTTAGCACCCTACATGGACTCCCTGGTAAAGGAAGGAAGGTGCTCCGCACCTGACATCAAATGGAGTCTGGGGAAGCGCCAGAGGTACCAGGCCGTGGCAATCATGATGCCCTGTGGCCCTGTAACTGGTGGGCTTAACAAAAAGCCGGTACCGCAAAACGAACAAACCAAACACTGGAAAGGAAAACTGCAGAATCAAAACTTTCAAACGTCTGTAAAACCGTTTTGCGTGCAAAATGTGTGCCGTCAAAATGTGTGTTTCACAGGGAATTCTCTCCGGGCATCTGAAGCAGCAGCAGAGTAGGAGGTGCTCAGCCTGTCCTGGGGTGATGGATGTGGCTTGTTCCGGTGTGTTGTGGAAGACAGGGGCAGAGCCCAAAGCTGACGGGGCAGGTCTAGGCCAGTGTCCCGGGCACAAGAGCCTTGGGATACCTCAGGCAGATGTCAGTTGTCACTCCAGGTGCTGCCCTACCGCAGGTCCACTGGGAGGGCTCTGCCCTTGGTTCATGGGTGTCTCCAGCTTTGCACGCTCACGGGCCTCCCACTGAGGTGCAGGGAGGTTCTGGGAGGTGTAAATTATGGAACACTGGGAGTAGCCAGTGTTACCTGGAGAGGAGGACCAAGCTGCTCTACAGGTATATTCAGATTCTATGCAAATCACTGAAGCTTTCTCTCCAGGTCAGTGTGGTCAGTGTGGCCTGTCCCTGACTGAGGCCTTGGAGAGTGTGGGGAGGTGGAGCCCTGTTCCTGCCACACCTGCCAGGCCACGAGCCGTGGTCATCACAGCTCAGGACAGGCCAGACAGGTGCTGCACACTTTCAGGAGCTGTGGGACCTGGAAGCTGCAGAAATGAGTCCAGAGAATTTTTTCAATGTCCATCAGAAAGAAAGAGGTCAGCAAGTTGAACCCCCAGCATGTCACCCGTGGTGTGTGCCTTTCTCAAAGCAGGTCCAGGTGAGAGGTGGGGCTCAGAGAGTACCTGGACCCCATCTTGCACCACCTGTAGATCTGCCTGGGTCACAGGCACAGTGACTTTTATTGTACCAGCACGTGGGTCGAGCGCCACCTGGTGGTTGAAACTGAAGCTGTGGGGGGAGGACTGTCCCCATGAGGGCAGAGACCCTTTTCAGCAGGTGATCCCTGACTTTAAATCCCTGACTCCGCTTTTTTAATCTTGGTGCTAGGGTTTGAACTCGGGGCTCACACTTTCCAGGCAGGAGCTCTTACCACTTGAGCCACTCTACTTGGTATTTTTGAAATAGGGCCTTGCTTTGTTTTGTTTTGTTTTGTTTTGTTTTTTGCCTGCTTTGACCTCAAACCATGATCTCCCTGATCTCTACCTCCCAAGTAGCTAGGACTACAGGTGTGAGTGAGCCACTGGCACCAGCCTTCTGTTTTGCTTTTTTATTTTGTTTTTGAGGCGGAGTCTCAAGCTTGTTTTGGTAGCATGTATACTAAGACTAAAGTAAGGTTTCACACTAACTTTGCCAGGGCTGGTCTCTACCTACACCACCCAAGTAGCTGGAATTACAAGAGTGAGCCACCGAGCGAGCTAGCCTAATTCCACTTTTTTCCTTTTTTTTTTTTTTTTTTTTTTTGGCAGAACTGTGATCTGAACTCAGGGCCGTGCACTCGATAGGCAGGTGCTCTACCACTTGAGCCATGCCTCCTACTAATCCCACTGAAGTGTTTCCTGGGCATTTTGCTGCCTCAGGAGGAGGAAGGTGGGGCAGGGCTGCTGTGAGCAGTTGTACAGGTTATGCACTGCACAAGCTCACCTCATGTAAGAGGTGTCAAGTTTGTTAATTGACTGGAAAAGAAGCTAAGAAAGGTCCTTGGGGTGGGGCTGGGCAGTGGTGACCAGGGCTGGGGACGCCTGGCCTCTGCAGCAGTGTGGGCCCAAACAGGCTCCTCGTGGGGTGGAGCTGTGCCCTGGCCATCCCTCACTCTTCTCTTTGCCCCCAGGAGTGGCTGAGCAGGTTCGGCTACCTGCCCCCAGCTGACCCTGCAACAGGACAGCTGCAGACACAGGAGGAGCTCTCCAAGGCCATTGCCGCCATGCAGCAGTTTGGTGGCCTGGAGGCCACTGGCACCCTGGGTCAGTTCTGTGGGGGGGGGCAGGAGACACCATGGTCCACACCCCACCTGACTGCTTGGGCTCTGCTGCTGACCACAGCCGGCCAGGGCCTGGATCTTGAACGTCCTCAACCCTAGTTGGGGGTGGGGGCAGTGGGAAGGGCTCACCCAGAGACCTCAGGTGGACCTGCCGGGGCCCCAGCCCTGGCTGCTGACTTGCACCCAACCCACAGACGAGGCCACTCTGGCCCTGATGAAGACGCCACGCTGCTCCCTCCCAGACCTACCCCCTGTGGCCCAGGCACGTAGGAAGCGCCAGGCTCTGTCACCCACCAAGTGGAACAAGAGGAACCTTTCGTGGAGGTGGGTGTGAGCCAGGAGCAGGGTCCAGCAGCCCAGCATCTTGGTGCACTAGAACCCTAAGCCTGCCGTGATGTGTTCCCACCCACTGCGGTTTACTCTCAAGTGCTCTGGAAGCCAGAAGTCCAGAGTCAGGGTGTGGACAGACCAGTCCTTTCTGGAGCCTGAAGAAGGACCTGTCCTCAGTCCTCCATCTCCCACCTCTCCTTCTGCCTATATGTGACCGTCCCCTCCCTGGGTCTCTGTGTCTCCTCTCTGATTTTTTATAGGGCTTGGGGCCCACAAGCACATCCAGTCCTTGCCTTAGTTGCAGAGGGAGACACCCTCATTCCAATCTAGGCCACGTTCTGTGGTTGCAGAGGGTTCGAATTTGGTGGGACACTGACCCAGCACACTTGAACTGACCCTGTCTGCTGTCCCCTGGGGCCAGAGCCAGGTCGGAGGGGCTCAGCTGGGGCAGGGTAACTGGTGAGAAGATGAGGTTTGCAAGGGGCCAGGGACTAATAGATATCAGGCACCTGTAGGAAACTGACACTGCTGCTTGCCCTGGCGTCCCAGCCCCTGGACTCACCTCCCTCTGTGACCCTGTCCATGGTGGGTGAACTCCTGGTGTCTTCATGAGGCACCAGATCTGCCTTCTGGGGACAGGAGAAAGGCAGAAGGTCAAAGAATACCTCCTTTTGGCATGGGCACCCCAGCTGGGGAGGGCAGGGTGTCACCAAGAAGGGAGGCCCCAGGCAGGCCCCTGTGTTCCATGGCCTGAACCTTGGTCTCACCCCCACTCCAGGGTCCGGACGTTCCCACGGGACTCACCACTGGGCCGGGACACAGTGCGAGCACTCATGTACTATGCTCTCAAGGTCTGGAGTGACATCACGCCCTTGAATTTCCACGAGGTGGCAGGCAGCACTGCCGACATCCAGATCGACTTCTCTAAGGCTGACCACAATGATGGCTACCCCTTCGACGGCCCTGGCGGCACCGTAGCCCATGCCTTCTTCCCTGGCGACCACCACACTGCTGGGGACACGCACTTTGATGATGACGAGGCCTGGACTTTTCGCTCCTCAGGTACGCACGGGGCTGGTGCTGATGCTAGGGTACCTCAAGGCCTTCAAAGCCCCTGTGGACCCTACAGGCTCCAATGCTAGAAAGAGACACCCAGCTCTGTAGGACTGAGATGTAGCTATGGACCATAATGCAAAACCCCAAACCGTGTTACTTAGGCTGTGTTGTCTGCCCGGCCTGAGTCAGCCAGTGCCTGAGACCTGCTGGGCTGTGCCAGTCACCCAGGCTGACCCGGGACATCCATGGTCAGCCTGGCTAGGCCCCTTGCCCATCCATGGCCAGGACACCACAGGCCTGCCTGGGGGCCCCTAGCCTGCCTGTGGCCAGGGCACCGCTGGCCGACCCTGGCTGGCGCCCCTCACTGTTGACTCTCCCTGGTACTGGGAGCCCAGCACGCATACAGAATCTACCTGCGATACGAGAGCCTTGGGAACCCAGGTGTCCTGCAAATCCTGAAATATCCACCGTGGGGCCATGTCCCCTGTGTCCCCTACGTGAGGGTAACAAGAGCCCTCCAGGAGAAAGGTCCTACAGAGCCTGAAGGACCCTGCAGTGCCCACTGACAGGACCAAATCCCCCTGCAGGCAGTGCCACTGCGCACAGTCCTACAGCTCAGGAGGGGAGTGTCCCCTGGCTCACGTGGCTCCAATGTCCCCAGATGCCCATGGGATGGACCTGTTCGCAGTGGCCGTCCATGAGTTTGGTCACGCCATTGGACTGGGCCATGTGGCTGCCTCGAGCTCCATCATGAGGCCGTACTACCAGGGCCCTGTGGGCGACCCCCTGCGCTATGGGCTTCCATACGAGGACCGGGTGCGCGTCTGGCAGCTGTATGGTGAGTGTCCCTGGAGCCAAACACAGGCTGCCTGGACGATGGGGGAGGAACCATGCACCCAGGTGGTTGGTGAGCTCTGCTCACAAGCTGCGTCCTCAGCTTCTGGAACCATATGGACCGCGCTGACTGCTAGTAGAATAATGGGGATGGTGGACACACAGATGGGCCAGGCTCTCTGCCTTCCCACATCACACCTGGGGACCCCAAATGCTTACAGTCTCCTGACAGCAGCAGTGATGGAACCCCAAGCCCCAACACTTCCAACTCTGCGAGAGACAAGGTACCACCCCACATACAGAGAAAACACAGGCACCAGCAGTCAGGATAACCCACAGAACCATACAAAGCCAAGACAGAAGCAGTGTCTGACCTAGGACCCCTTCCTGTGGGACCCACACTGCAAGCGCTACCCATCCAGTTCCATTACTGTTCTCACCCCCACCCTTCCAAAGGGGACCCCAGGCTGTTAACTGCCCTCCCCCGTCTGGTCGCCACGAATCCAAAGTCTGAGGGTTTACCTTTTTGGACACTTGGTAGAATCGTGCAGTGTGGGTCTGTGTCTGGCTTCTTCCTTGGATGCTGTTTTCAGGGTTCTGTGTGTTGTGGGGAGTCAGACTTGGCCCCTTTTCCCGGCTGGGTAATTGTATCTGTCTCTCATCTGGTAGGGGGGGGGATCCCCCTTGGCTCTTGGGAATGGTGCCATGAACGGGGACACTTAAGTCCTCAATGGACCCCTGCTGTCTCCTCTCGGCCGTGCACCCAGGTGGTGGGGGACCCCCCGCCCCTGCCCCGGCTCTCGGAAATGGTGCCGTGAATGGGAATGCTGAGTTCTCAGTGGATCCCCATTGTCCACTCTCAGCTGTGCACCCAGCTGGTGGCCCTAGAGCTACTTTGCTTCCCAATGCATCTTTGTAGCTCCTGGCCTTGCCTAGCTGGTCCAGTCCCTCCTGGACACCGGCTCCATGGGGTGGAACCAGGTTGATTTGCCTGTCAGCCCAGCAGCTAGGCTCCCTTCTTGGGGTTCCTAGAGGGACTGGTAAATTAGCAGGGGTGGACCCCAGATTCAGTGTGGTTTTCCTTATCTCCACAGGAGTGAGGGAGTCTGTGTCCCCCACAGCACAGCTGGACGCTCCAGAGCCCGAGGAGCCTCCCCTCCTGCCAGAGGCCCCCAACAATCGGTCCAGCACCCCGTAAGCCATGGTCCTCATCACCACACACTGGTCTGCATGTCCTCATCCAGCACTGCCCTTCCCAGACCCAGCTGCCCCCAACATGGCCCAGAGTCCTGAGAAAAGCGCTGCAGTGTGCACTGACCCTGTCCTGTGTGATATTATGATACCGTGTTCTCTTGGGGTTTTTGTTTAAGTGTTTGGTTTTGGTGGGACTGGGGTTTGAACTCCAGGCCTTCACCTTGAGCCACTCCACCAGCCCAATTTTTTGTGATAGGGTTTTTCTAGATAGGGTCTTGTGAACCATTTTCCCGGGCTGGCTTTGAACCACAGCCCTCCTGATTTCTCCTCCTGAGCAGTTAGGATTACAGGCGTGAGCCACTGTTGCCCTGCTCTCACTGCTTCTGATTGAGAGTGGGCACCCACTCGTGAGGACGTTCCTCCGTTTCTCGAGCTCTCTGCCTGAGGACGTTAAGTTGTCCTGACTGTTAGTTATTATCAGTAGTGTTGTGAATTCCCTTTCTGAGGAACAAGGCTCAGAACTGGAATTGGGACCCCATGCCTGCAGTCATCTCTGTGGTAGATAGGGCCCAGTGGGCCTCTGGGGTGTGACACCCAGTCTCTTCCCACCGGTGGCCTGTGCCAGTGAGACTCGCCATGCTGTGTTCTGAGACTAGGCCTTTTCCCACTTGGGAAGGGGCAGAGGTACTCGTTCTAATTCTCTCTCCCACCAAACACCATGATGGCAGAAGCTGCAGTGGGTACGTGTGTTCCCTTGAAGGGTGCCTGTGCCTGTGGTTCTGGGTAGTCCCACTCTAGCGACGACCCAGGTCTGGAGCCTCCCAGCCCACCCGGCTCTCTGCCTCGCAGGCCCAGGAAGGATGTGCCTCACAGGTGCACCACTCATTTCGACGCCGTGGCCCAGATCCGGGGAGAAGCCTTCTTCTTCAAAGGTAGCACAGGGCCCAGGGGTGGGGCAGGGGGAAACACAGAGGGACAAGCCCCCTTCAGACACTCCCTTCCATCCCTAGGCAAATACTTCTGGCGACTGACACGGGACCGGCACCTAGTGTCCCTGCAGCCAGCGCAGATGCACCGTTTCTGGCGGGGCCTGCCGCTGCATCTGGACAGCGTGGACGCCGTGTATGAGCGCACCAGTGACCACAAGATTGTCTTCTTCAAAGGTGAGTAGGTCTCCCCATGCCTGCAGCCTCCCTGCCTCCTGCAGTCTGCTGGCTCTGCCAATGGTGGCTGCAGGAGGCCGGTCCCATGGTTTATCCCACTGGTCTAAAACACAGCACGGAGCAGCTTGCTCATTTGTGAGCTTGACGGATGTGTATTAAGCACCCACTGTATGCTGTGGTAGATAATGCAGGTATAACACAGAGGACACACAGGCAAAACCCCTCCTTCGTTCTAGTGGGGGCAGCAGGGAGCTCTGACAATAGCCAGAATGTTACCTGCGGGTGGTGTTCAGCACCACGAGAAGGAAGAGGTGACAGTGGAAAGCAGCCTGTTAGGGAAACACTCAGCTTAGGGAGCTGAGTCCGGGAAGCAGAGTCCAAGCCGGGAGAACAGCCAGTGTGAGGCCCTGCTGAGTGCAAAGCACCAAGAGGGCAGTGGTTGGAGCTGTGCAGGGGGCTAGGAGGAGCAGGGACAGGAAAGCAGGTGTGCACACAGCTGCCTCTACCTCTGTGACCCCACCCCAGCTCTGAGGAAAACCTGCAGCCCTTGTCACTTAGTCACTAGGGGTCATTTCTCTTGCATCCACATCTGAACCAGGAAAAGGAGAGCCAGGGTGGGGAGTAGGCGGGTGTGAGCTTCCTGGTCCCCTTCCCTGGAGGAAACAGGAACTCACCTCTCACAGCGGCGGGTCCAGGTCCTGAATCAGAGTGGCCAGGTGGCTTCCTGGGGCTTGAAGGAGCCTCTGTCCAGCCTCTCCAGTTAGGCCAAGCTGTCCTCCTATCTCTTCCTCCACCTGGGTTACCGTGAGGTCACCAGTCACCGACCGAGGCTAGTCCATCACAGTCCCTTCTGAGCCAAAGAGCCTGCAGGGACTAAGGCCACAATTCTGAGGTTCCAGGGTGGGGGTGCAAACTTGGGGTGATGCTGTTTGACTCGGTGCACCAGCTACTTCCACAAGCAAGGGAGGTGCTGACCTTTGAGGAGGTGGAGACGGTCCTCAGGCTTGCTCTGTAACCACTCCTCCCTTATTCACGTCACCCAGCCAGCCTTTGCAGGCCTGAAGCTCAGGGACCCCTCACTCAGGCTGGAGGCTGCCCACGAGGACCTGTCCGAGCAGCAGGGGACAACATGTGTCTAGCAGAGTCTCTGGATTTATGTTGCTTATATTTTGTGTCTGCTTCCTGGAGAGTCGCCTTTCAGAAATAAGCCATGCCTCCCAGGACTCCTGAGGTTTTTCTTTCTTCCTTCACATTCGTCCTGCCCTGGCTTTTTCTCAGCTGCTGTTCTATCCTTTTTTTTTTTTTTTTTTTGCATTGCTGGGATTTGAACTCAGGGCTTACACCTTGAGCCACTCCACCAACCCTTTTTTGTGATGGGTTTTTTCAAGATAGAGTCTTGCAAACTGTTTGCCCGTGCTTTGAACTGCGATCCTCCTGAGTAGCTAGGATTACAGGTGTGAGCCACAGACACCCAGCTCAGCTGCTCTTATTTTTGGTTTTTTTTTTGTTTGTGGTACCGGAATTTTGAACTCAGGGCTTTGCACTTGAGCCAACCCCCCTACTCCCCTGCTATATATTGGAGACTGTCAAAATTTATTTTGCCAGGCACCAGTGGCTCACACCTGTAATCCTAGCTACTAAGTAGTCAGAGACCAGGAGGATCACAGTTCAAAGCCAGCCTGGGCAAATAGTTCACGAGACCCTATCTCAAAAAAAAACCCTTCCACAAAAATAGGGCTGGTGGAATGGCTCACGGTGAAGGCCCTGAGTTCAAACCCCAATACTGTAAAAAAAAAAAAAAAAAGAGAAAGAAAAAAGGAGCATCCAGTCTGGTGTGTATAAAGTCACTGTGGTGGTCTGGACAAAACGTGAAGCAGATTTCTCCCTCATGTTACTATTTCCTGTGTGGCTAGGAGAGAACCCTGGGGACAGACTGGAGGCCACATGGGCCTCCTACCCACAAGGTCATGTTAACTCCTCCCTCCTTACAGGTGTGTTTTTTGTTTGTTTGTTTGTTTTTTAGTATTTGGAATTGAACTCGGGGCCTACACCTTGAGCCACTCCACCAGCCCTTTTTTGTCTTTTTTTTTTCAAGGTAGGGTCTCCTTAACTATTTGCCTGGGCTGGCTTTGAACCGAGATCCTCCTGATCTCTACCTCCTGTGTAGCTGGGATGACAGGCCTGAGCACCAGCATCCAGCTTTAGCAGAGGGTTTTTAAGAGTCTTGCTTCTGTGTAGAGTCTACAAAGGTGTGAAAACCCCACTCGTCACTAGGCCTCTGACGGAGTGCCTTGCTGATCGTGGGGAACTGGAGAGGAAGAACAAGCATCTCCGGGTGGTCAGATGTTCCCTTTCTGTAAGTGGCCGCCAGAGCACAACTTGGGGGCACACGGAATGACCCATGCCACACACACAGTAGGTGCTCAGTAGACTCCTAGGCACTGTGACAGGTGGTGGAGGGGGACGGGGACCATATGGTGGTTGCTGTGCCTCCCACACCTGGGCAAGGGTGACGGGCACGGGGGAAGGCAGGGCTGGAGCCCCTGCCCTCGGGTGGGCCGAGCCCCAGCCCATGGCTCTTTCTCTTGCCCCCAGGAGACAGATATTGGGTGTTTAAGGACAATAACATAGAGGAAGGATATCCGCGGCCCATCTCCGACTTCAGCCTCCCGCCGGGCGGCATCGATGCTGCCTTCTCCTGGGCCCACAATGACAGGACTTATTTCTTTAAGGACCAGCTATATTGGCGCTACGATGACCACACGAGGCGCATGGACCCTGGTTACCCCGCCCAGGGCCCCCCGTGGAGGGGTGTCCCCAGCACACTGGACGACGCCATGCGCTGGTCTGATGGTGAGCGCCAGGTGGAGGCAAGGCTGTCCAGCCTCAGTTTCCTCATCGGTAGAACAGGGGTCACAGTGGGGTTGTTGGGAGGAACTGCCCAACCGTTGCCTGTCAGCGTGAGCACTGAGGACCCCTGACCCTCAGGAATCTATACCCTAACTCATGAACTTGACACCCCACACTCGCCATGCCCCATCCACCCTGGGTTTGTCTGCCTCTTCCCTGCTCACTCCCTCCACCCATACCCGCCTCCTGCTGCTTCTCCCATACACACTGGACCTGACCTTCCCCAGACCCCCACGACCCTGCCCCAGGCTCGGGCCCCAACGCGCAGCTGGGAGGGAGCTTTCCTGAGCTTCCTGGCTTCGTGTCCCCAGGCTCTGCAAACCCAACCACACGGAACTTCCCTACCCAGAGCTGGTTCTACCAGGCCAAATGGGTGTCTCTGCCTTTCAGTGCTATGCTTTTACTACCCAGAACAGCCAGGCGCAGGGTAGATCCTGGATAAAAAACCCAGTAAAGGAAAGAAACTTGAGGTCACCATTCATCCCTGCCTCCCACAGCTCCAGACCTGTGTCAGGGTCTGCGACAGGCATAGCCCAGACAGACTGACCTGGCTACGGTGACCTCAGGCTCCCACCAACCCTGCACTCTGGTATCCCGCCATCCTACTGGGGCACCCAGGCTCAGCTTGCCTCTTCTCTGCAGGTGCATCGTACTTCTTCCGTGGCCAGGAGTACTGGAAGGTGTTGGATGGCGAGCTAGAGGCAGCACCTGGGTACCCACAGCCCACTGCCAGGGACTGGCTGGTGTGTGGCGAGCCCCCAGTGGGGGCAGATGGTGCAGACCAGCCTGGGCCCCAGGGCCACAGTGGTGCACAGGACGGCTTGGCTGCATGTTCCTGCACCTCGGCTGCGCACAGACCCGGGCCATCCACACCGCAGCTGCTACTGCTGGGGCTGTCCCTGCCTCGTGCACTGTGGGCACCCTAAAGCCAACGCTGGCCGTGAAAGACAGAGGAGCTGCAAAGGGCAAGGGCGCCCAACCAGTGACCGGGGTGACGCCGGCATGTGCCGTGGGTGTGTCCTTCTCTGCTGCCGGGTGCCCTGTGGCAGATTCGCCTTGCACTACTTCCTTCTAGTCACCTTGCATTGCACTGTCATCCCACTGGGGCCTGCAGACCAGGAGCACAGCCAGGGCCTCCCCTGGGACTGGACGGACAAGTGACCTCACTGGGCATGGGAGTGGCGCCAACACCCTGCACTTGGGGTGATGGGACTGACAGAAGGTCTTCCCACTGTCCACTGGAACCTTCCTGTGCTGGGCTTCCCAAGTCCTCCAGAGACCATTGTGTCCAGTTCGTCCATGGAGACGAGGAGTCTCCAAGTGCCAGATTTCACCCGCCCAGCAGTCTGACCCGGTACCACCTTCCGGGAGCCAGAGCCAGCTCCGTTTGCATGAGGGAATGCCGTGCACACTCAGGACCTGTCTGCCACGTGCACGGAGCCAGACCCCAGGAGTAGGATCAAGGCCTTGTCCACCCAGCAGGCCGCCAGCCTGGCCCACGGTTCTCACCCCAGGTTTGAGTGCAGGATCCCAAGCTGCTGCTGCTTCCTTCCAGACAGACAGAGCATGGGAGGTTGCACACCCTTTGCCTCCCGTGCCTCCCCCTCCCCGGCCAGGAGGGACCTACCTTCTCTCTGGGTGCTCTGACATGGGGACTTTCAGAGACATCAGTGTCCCTGGGTCAGCCTACCACAACCGTGCCCTTCACACAACCGCAGACTTCCCGCAGGGCCCCGAGGCTGAGTCCCTCTGGCTTAGGCCCATCAACCTGCTCTCCCTGGGGCTGTGGAGGGGTCTTCCAGCACCTGGAGCCGAAGCGAGGTTCAGCCAGGAAGAGGAGGATGGCTGGCGGTGAGCCACAGGTCCCAGGCAAGAAAACATCTCTGCACCTGTGACAGGTGGAACAGTGACGGGTTGTGTTGAGACCTCAGAGCAGCCAGGCGGGCGGTAGCATCGCTACCTGGAGCCATGCCAGTGTCACCTCTTGGCCTTGTGGAAGTAGGAGTTGTGGAGGAGAGCTGGCTCCTGAGTGACCAGAAAGGGCCTCTGATCAGGGGACGGAGGGAGGAGATGGAGCCCACGCTGCTCTGATCTGAGGGTAAGCAGCCACAGGGAAGGACCTGAGGTGGGATGGGGGCCTTTGCAGGGGAGAGAATGAGTCCAAGGGCAGGGCCACCCATGTAGGCTCAGAGAAAGTAAGGCACTGAGTTTGTTCCAGGCGTGACGGGAAATTAGCGATCACACACCACCAGCCATGTGGAGAGCAGGCGCCATCCCTTTCACAGGTGACAGAGGCTTCATTCCCCACTTCATACTTTCAGGTGCCCAGTGCAGAGAGAGGCTAGCCCAGAACCTGCTTTGCTGACCCCAGGGCTGGACTTGAGCTTGCCCTGAGATGAGAAAGAGGCTACAGAGCAGGCAGGCTCCCGGCAGTCTCTATGCTTCCCTCACCAAGCCTGGCCACACCTGTGTCCATCTGCCCACCATCTTCTCCCCAGAGCCATGAGCAGTTCCCGCCTTTCAGCCCAGACAGGACAAACAGGTCCAAGGCTCCCTCCCACTCATGGGGCCACCCTGCTCTGCCCTTCACCAAGCACGTTCCTGTGTTGTCCATGTTGTCCTGCAGGAAGGAGCGTCTTGTGCAGCTGGGCGGATGGCCCAGCAAGGGTCCTGAGGTCCTCTGTCACGTGATAGTGAGAACCAGGCCTGCAGGCCAAGGACCGTCCTGCTCCGGTATCTCACTGTCATTTTAAAGCCCAAACTCTAATAAAACTTTTCTACATGGACAGTGGTAGAGCACCTCCCTAGCTTTTGAGAGGCTCTGGGTTTAATCCCAGTGCCCCCCAAAAAATCTTTTCTACCCTTTCTGTCTTGGGTGATGAGGTAAACAGACACAGGGGGTCCTCTCGGAGTGAACCAGAGGTCGGGAGGGTTAGAGCAGGATCCTCTCTCAAGGACACAGTCCAGAGATAACCTGGGACTATCAGGCTACCAGATTCTCAGATCCTAGCCAGTGTCCCACAGCAGCTTCTCCAGGGAAGACCCCAACCCAGTGGCACAATGCTACAGTTTGTTCTTTGGCTGCCATGGCTGCTTGGTCTCTCCTGACCCCTGTGATCTTGGCACTCGTGAAGGTGGCAGGCCAGTGCTCCATGTTCTGCCCGTTTGGAGCTCCTTCAGCGCTAAGCCAGGTTCTGTGTCTTTGGTAGTGACATTCAGGATGGTGTGCAGTCACTGATTAAACCCAGAGATCTCACAAAAGACCTCCTGGTGCACAAGGTCGGCAGTGCTTGTTTCCTGGGGACACCCAGTTCCCGTTCACATGTGGCCACCACCTTGCTGTGTCCCCTCATGGCAGAGAGGGGGGTTTTGGGCCCTTCCTCCATTTACAAGGCACCATCCCACGTTCTCATTGAGCCCTAAGCACTAACAGAGACCCCACCTGCCAACACCATCACTCTGGGGACAGGGGATACATTCAGCCCATAAATGTAAGACAAGGTGGACCACAGTGCGAAGCTGCACAGCCAAAGCATGAAGAATGGAGCCACTTTCGGTCCCCCACCCCTTCTCCATAGTCCCCTGGGGTTCTCAGGTCGCGCCAAAGGGAAGTCACAAGAGTGGCTTGCATTGCCAGGCACTGATCAAGGCTGTACAAAGACACACTGGTCTGAATCCTTATAACAACCCCAAGAAGGGAGAAGGTGGCTACTTCCACACCCCACATAAAGAAACTGAGGCCTGAGGGGCGGAGCTGCTGAAGACCAGACCTGTCCGTGGGTAACGGGGGAGCCTGGACAGACTGATGGCAAGCAGGTTCCAGCCACCTGTTCCCCAGACGACTGAGACTGCTCTGCACTGGAATCCTAGAATGCCAAGCGGTACCATCCATGGCTGGAGCCTCCTCCCAGTACCCAAGGTTTCAGGGTGCCACGTGGGCCCCGAGCACAGCTATGAGCTGCTGTCGCACACCACGCTGTGTGTCTAGGCAGGACAGGAGGACCTGACCATGTCTGGAAATGTGAGGGAAAAGCCCAATGGACAAGCCCCAGTGCCAGCTACCTGCTCTCCCCTGGTCTGGCTTGGGAGCGTCTGGTTCTTGGGAGCATCTGCACTGTGGATGCAGGGTGAGAATCCAGAATTTAGGGCCAAAGCAGCAGTAGCCCTGATCTGTGTCTCTCCCCATTTCTGTCTCCCTCTCTCTGGTTCTTTCTGTCTCTTGTTTCTCTACCCATCTCTCTCTCCCTGTCTTCTCTCTCAGGATCTCCTGTTGCAGCTGTGTTCAGATAGCTGCAGGGCTGACAGGGCTGGCTTCTGTGCCCATCAATGCCATCTCTAGACTGGAGCCTCCATGTGATGTGGGCTTCCCCATAGCTTAATGGCTGAGTGCTGTGTGAAGGTGCCTAAAGGTATCCATAACCTCCCTGTCACTTGATTACTCACTCAACAAACACTGAAGAAGCCAGGCAGAACATACTGTTGCCAATCTGTTGGGTGGAGTCCTTTTGCTCTACTAGCTAAGACTCATCAGAAGATAAATAGAAGCTTTCCGTGGGCCCCTGAGTGACCAAGGGCCAGGGGCTGAACTGGTAGAGCCAGAGGCTCACAGCTCCAAGCCCTGAGAGCCGGGGGCCACTGCTACAGGCTTTAGCAGGCAGAGACTCGTGGCTCTGGACGCTCAGGCTGGAGGCTGGTCGCTCTGGGCTCCAACCTCCAGTGGCCTGGGCGCTTGGCGGCTATTGCAATCCTGGGCGTCCGGCAGCAGTGGGTGGCCCCTGTAGTGTCACAGCTCCTGAAGGATCTTGGGTGCTGAGACCCCCAGCTAATACAGTAATCAGTGTTACAGGTCCAGACGGGTTCTGGGTGCTGGTAAGCTCAACTCCCAGGCCGAGGGTCCTGGGAGCTCTTTATTTCTCTTGCTGCCCCAGCTTCCTACCGCTCTGCAGCTTCTCACCTTCCCTGTCCCTGGGCTTTGACGTCCCCGTCTCCTCTTCATGGTACCAGCTCAAAAGCAGGCAAGCCCATTCAAGAGCAGCCTTAATTGGCCCTACAAGTTGAGCCATAAAAACAGCAACGGGATAGGATGCGTCCTGCCTGACTTTCAGAGCGAGCGGCGCAACCTGCTTATATAGGGCAGAAGGGGGCGTGGCAAGGCTCTTTCCACCAATCACTGCTGTTCTGCAAATGAGGGACTTGTATTTGCACCAATCACAGACCTTCTGTCAGGCCAGCTGAGGAAGTGCGCCCCCTCTGGCCTGCATGAGAATAGCTGCAGGGTGATTTCCAGGGCCCACGAGCAAGCTCTCTGGGGTAGTCGCCCGTGAAGGAAATCTTCCCCGTGGTGGTCCTCTGCAGCTGAGTGACTTTGAGGTGTCCCAGCTGCCATGAGGGGAGGCGGCTGGCTGCAGGAGAGGGGCTGCAAGGCTGCCAGGAATAAGGGAAGTGCCTGTCACGTCAAATGGCTGCTCTTCACAGTCCTAATCGTTCCCAGACAGCATCAAAAGTATATAAGGCCAGGAGCAGCGGTGCACATCTGTAATCCCAGCTATGCAAGAGGCCTAAGTAGGAGTATAGCAGTCTGAGGCCAGCCTGGGAAAAAAGTGGGAGGCCCTATCTGAAAATTAAAGCAAAAAGGGCTGGGAGGGGGGCAGGCACCGGTGACTCACGCCTGTAATCCCAGCCACTCAGGAGGCAGAGATCAGGAGGATCGCAGTTCGAAGCCAGCCTGGGCAAATAGTTCTTGAGACCCTATCTCAAAAATACCCAGCACAAAAATTGGGCTGGTGGAGTGGCTCCAAGTGAAGGCTCTGAGTTCAAACTTCAGCACTGCAAAAAAAAAAAAAAAGTGGAGGGGGTCTGGGGGCATGGCTCAAGTGTTAGAGCACCTGCCTAGCACGTGCAAGGCCTTGGGTTCAAACCCCATATA